GGAGCGTGGGGTGGGGTGGAGGAAGGGAAAGAGTCCGGGGAATCTAGGAGGTGAGGAGGAAAGCAAGAGCCGGGTTGGGCGCAGACACTTGCTGGAGCACACATGGCCGGTTGGCCGGCGGCGGCGGTTTGCGCGGGGGGGTGAGGTGGTCGCAGCCGGCGGCTAGATCTGGGGCAGGGCGCACGCCAGCGGCGCAGGTGGCGGCTGCGCCAGGCGTTGGCCAGCGCCGGCTAGCTGCGCTAACCCACCATGATGTCAAGAATCAAGGTGGGCTTGCCGTCAGGAGAGGTGGCCAGGGGCGCGGCATCCGGGCTCGCGGCGGCGCTGCAGCGGCGGCCGCCGCCGGCACTGGTCATGCGCGGGCTGCCGCCGCCGGAAGGCATGCCAGCCCTGCAGCAAAGGAAGGAGGATATCTGAGGTAGGTAGCTCACGATGGGCTAGCACCAGGCAAGGGGGGGCCATGGGTGAAGAAGCAATGCATGCCGCGGCAGATCACATCACCAACAAGCAGCGGCAGCACACGCACCTGGTCAGAGCGGTACTGCCCCCCGTCCTGCAGCAGCTGCGCAATCCCTGCGCCCCACGCATCGCCGGGACCAACAGGACCCGCTCAAGATGTGTAACGTAGATCAGCGGGCTGGTGGGCGGTCACAGGGGGCCTTCGGGGCCGGTGCCCTCACCAAATACATGTGGGAACGAGTCTTAACTACCAAAAGCGACGTCATGTCCAACCAAAAGAGCTCTCAAATTGTGGTGTCAGGTGTCGATGTCCGCCTGCCTGCTTCCAACAGCCTTGTTGTCGAGCGTTTTCGAGGAAATGGTGCAAATCGAGCACATCGCGCTTGATAAATTGTGATTGCCGCTGCCTGTTGGTTTTTCAGGCAGATCAGGCGAACGCAGGTGTGGTGCGGCATCAGGATCAGTCGCTGTGCAAAGACCAGGCACTTGAGGCATGCTAGCTGTTTTGAGCAGGCGGGCGCCGTGTGCGAGCCAGCACGCTCTGTCGAGTCGTGCACGCGCTGCTTTCACATTGCGTGCTGCTGGTCGTGCTGGCATGCGCACCCCATGCGGGCACCCTCGCCACCGCACGCGCTCCCGCAGGCACACGGGGTCGCCATGCTGCAGACATTCAGATCGCGGGTATGCCGCGACCTCGGCCGCACGGCGGGCCGAGCCGGCAGGCCCATGCACCCGCAGGCAGCCCCCGTCCATTGCCGCCGCAGCAGCTCTTGTGCAGCGCCCCGCGCCATGCAAATTGCGGGTGAGGCCCCCGGCCGGCCGGCGTGGGCGCTTCTTTTCGCCCCTCGGAATCACAAGCCCAGTCATCATCGCGTTCGAGGCGGCGGTGCTGTTGCCGCCTCGCCCCTGCGGTGTCGCCTGTGGTCAGGGACCCTCGGTCAAACTGTGACCTGTGCCGATGCTTGCGGCCCCTTGCCTCACCACCGTCCATCCCCCATGCAATCATCACATCATGCTCTTCTGATCACCAGATCACGCGGCATACCTGGAGGAGGTGTCGGTGACGGCCTGCCCCAAGCTGCTGCCGGCGCTCATCAAGGTGGGGCTGCGCCGCCGGCCCAGCCGCGCCATGCACTGGCGGCTAACGGCAGCACGTCTCCATTGCAGGGAGGGAGGGCGGAATCGCTTGCAATAGCATGCAGCGCGAGGGACATAGGGGTCTGGCATTGCATGCAACAACGCGCCGTCAGGGCCGTCGACGGGCGTCGCGGCGGGGCTGCAATCCAGCAGGCAGCAAGATGGCGCCCCCTGCACTGAGCTCGAAGCGGCTGAGGGTCAAAGAAACCCCATGACCACATACTGCCAAGGCTACCGGGGCGGGGGTTGATTCGCCCTGCCGCACACCATTTTGCTGCTCCCTCTATCATGATGCCCCTGGATTGAACAGCGGAGCCCACACGATCGCCCTGCCCTTGCCATCTCCTGGCCTGCCTGTTGTGGCACGCGGCCGTCCAAACCTCGCCCTGCCCTCAACTGCCCCGCCCCCCAACCCCCCAATCCTGCCCTTCCCAGGCGCTGGAGGCGCAGGGCCACCCCATCCTGTCGCCCTCAGACCGCGCCGGCCTGCACCCGCTGCTCATACCCCTGGCGTCATGCCCCCCGCCCCCTGGCGGCCCCGACGCGGCGGCGCCGGCCGGCAGCGAGTCTGTGGTGCTGGGGCTGCTGCGGTGGGCCGACCCCGGGCGCCACAAGGGCATGGCGCTGCCGCTGGTGTCGATGAGCCGCGGGGCGCGGGGCGTGAGGCTGGTGGCGCGCAGCGTGGACGAATACCTGCACAGGTGGGGGCATGGGGTTGGTGGGGCGGGTAGGATGTGTCAACTGGGGCGTGTGGATTCGGGACTGTAAACAGGAGGTGCACCCGGGGGCGGGGCTCTGGACCTTTGGGGTATGTGGGGTGTAGAGGGCCTGCTGCAACCGCATGATGGATCGAGACTGGCTCAAGAGCACCGTGCTGGGAGTCTCGATGTTTTGGGGGTGGCCTTGATAAGGGGCAGTGCGCTTGTTGTCGCGGCCATGGCACCGAATCTTGTGTGCACACAAGTGCATGCATGCCCACCAGGTCCACACGCTCCCCCTAACGCGCTCCCGCGCCCCACCCCCCAGGCTCCTGGCGGAGGAGGACGCCGCGGCCGGCAGCGGCGGCCCAACCCCGCTGGCCGACGCCGCGAGCGCCTCCGACGCGGCGGGCGTGGCTGAGCTGTACTCGCGGGGCGCTGTGGAGCGGCTGGGGCTGGGCGGCGCCAAGTTCAACCTCTACCTCATCAAGAAGGTGGGGGGCCGGAGGGGGAGAAGAGAGGGGAGGGGTACCGTGTGGTGGCA